AAATTCCGAAAAAAATAAAGAAACATCATGTTAAGAGAGAATTAAATAATGCTACGGGAATTCACAGAAGTTTTTATGAGATTGCAGTCCACCATTCAGCATTAAATTTAGTCGTGGGGAAAGAATGAAGGAAACTTATCAATGTTAAAGGCTAACACGCACAGAACTTCTTAAACCTGGATCATCATCACGAATTGGTTGCGGCACATGCTGTTGTTTGGTTTGGCCATTTTCTAAGACCCCTTTTTAGGGAAATCGTAGCAACTGCAAGTGGGGACGGAATAGCCCAATCCAGCTAACTGAGTCGACTCTGTTTGTCAATGGTGTGTGCCTTTCTGCCTCTAAATGTGAGACTGCGACTGCTCCCCATAAGATCTTTTTTGGCATTTCCTGCACAAAACTGTCAATTATAGCAAGTGGTCTGGTATGCAAAATTTCAGATTTGCACCTGTGCTCTGAAGTTGCATGCATGAAATTTAAAGGCCGGCTCGATTAACCTGATTACTAAAAATGCTTTTCAGAATATGTTTTGTAGTAGGTTAGTTGGGTCATTTTCGTTCATGAAGCCGCTACAGCAGTGGGTCTTTACAGCGAAATCAAATGAATGCGCTTACTAAATATACTATATTCCTTCCCTTAATGTTTTCAGAAATGTCAAATGTCTGGAGGAAAGAACAAAAAGAAACTTTCAGTTCTTCTCACCAACACTTTATGGCTAGACAGTCAAGGCGTAAGGACAAGATTATCAATTGCTAACTTTGTTGTATTTTACCATTCCATTCGAAAATCCACGCATCTATAGAGTAACATGTGTCTTTTCTCTTATTTACTAAGGCATGACAACATCTTTTCACTGCAATCAAAAGTTATAAGTAATGCCTAAACACTCTTCAGTAGCACGAAAACATGCATAAAGTAATTCGTAATAGAGCTTTTACGAACCTAAGTTCACAATGCATTCATACCATTTGGTTGAGTCTAGCAAGATCAATGCACTTCTACTTATTTCTTATGAAAATATGTCATTTCCCTTTATTTCTAATGGTAAATTCATTTAACTGGGCATTAAAGCCACTTCTTGCCAAGTTTACTGAAGGCAGGACAAACTCCAAGCATCACGGTGGTTGCAAAATGATTGAGGGCATTCATTGGAGCCACAAAATTACACCCCCCAGGCGGTAATAGATGATTACGAAAATGGCATTACTGGCGTTAAAGTCATACCATCCGTAATTCAGAAGGTTACCGGGACGAAACAAATGGATGCGCTTTCGCCTGTGCGGTCAACTGGGTGCAACTTTTTGATAAATACCCATGTGCCAATGCATTCTCCTCCATGCAACAACGTACTAAGCACAGACTGAAGTTTTTTGCTTTAAAAATACATTCAACGCAATACATTTTGAGGCAGACGTGTTCATATCAAGGTTATGATAGTACATTACTTATAAGTGTTCAATCATCAGTCGACGCTGTATAAAAGGACTTGCTTTGGATCCAAATTACTTGACGAATTATCTTTTAGTTGTTCGAAGTTTTGTGATTGGATTACCGTAACTTGAAGACACGCTTAAAACAAATCATTCTCCACTTATTTTGTTCTATTTAGTGCTTAATAAAGGAAATGTAGTACCTTTAATTAGCAAGTCATTGGAAGTATAAATAAAGGACTAAAAAGCATAGGTTATGAGTCAGTGCTTTCAGATACAAATAATCAGCATAACTTACAGATAACTTCAAGAGTTTCACTTTGACGCAAAAGGGCGATACGTTCGGGTTTTTCAACACTGCATTCGATACGATGACCATTTAGTCGGCGATGTGCGATTACCGTTAGGTTAGACTGGGTAACAAAGCCCCTTCCATTGCCGCTAGTGGACATACGATGAGCGCTAGTGAAGTGCATCCCTTCGCCTAAAGCCTCTATTCCTCCCAAGGGGCTGAGATGACGCCAGGTGACGTTGACGGCGGGGTTAGCGCCTCCTTCATCTGTCTGGCAGATAATCACCTTGCTCATGTCCTCACGCATTCTGCCCTCAGGAAGTGACTTTAACGAAAGTGATCGCGGATCAACTACGTACGTAAAAGGAAAAGAAGCCAATTCAGTAAGTCACACAACGCACTCTTAATTAGATGCCTTTGCAAA